CAACCTCATGACTTGAGAGAATCGAATTTTGCAATATGGAAAAAACTCACTTTTGAATTGGAAAATTTCCATGTTCATAACTTATGCATTTTCAAACTCAGCATGTGCAAGCTACATTGCAGGCTTCAAATATCATTTACACTCATAAATTAAATGCTAATCCTCTATGCCAAGATGTTGTCCTATGAGTTTGGTCATTACATGGAAGTTTAAGCCATATTTGGAAAAAGTGATTTATCTATTCTTGTAAAGCACAACTTTATGTCAAACATGAATCTATGAGGTACAAGGCATATCTTCTAGGCACAATTTATTGAGTTAATCCCACTGATCAAGGATAACTTTGCAGCATGTTTAGAGGGGCCTGCACAAGCTTGTAAAATCAATTTGCATTTTCTTGCTTAAGTTAGAAGTAACTTGGCATAACTAACACAACTTTGATCTCAGCACAAAAGAGCTTAAGCAAAGAACTTTGTACACATTCATTAACATCCATACAAGCTATCCCCAACCTTAGATACAGACTGTAACAGCCATAGCACAGTTGGACATTTTCATTTTCCTCTCTTGCAGGTTGACTTCCATGGAGTGATTCAGTACGATTCAAAACACTCCAAGCATTGGAATAGCATCACTACACTTCAGGAAAGCTGTACAGATTATCATCTTGCCCTGAAAGCTCCCCCATTGCCAGATACAACTTCAACTGAACAGGTATCTTCTTGAACTTCTAACTCTTAATGTAGGCATTGTTAGCTCTAAGTTTGTGAATAAAAAGTGTTCTACTCATGCCCCTGAATCTGTACATACCTTTACTTTCCATTTATTTTGCCTGAGCTATGAGAATTTAAGGTCTGAATGTTGACAAAAATTTAGGTTAGGATTTGGGAATGACAAAATTCTCTCTCATTTCTGAGAGTTAGGAGGAGTTCTTTACATATTCAGAATCGTGATTCAATGCTTAACATTTTTGGTGTTGTGAGTTTGTGCAAAAAATCAAGGAATCAGGATGTTTGAATCAGGGATCAGAACGCGCGTTTTTTGAATAATTTCTGGCTGGAGGTTGAAGAAAGACTTGGTGGGCTGGGCTTGTGTTGTCATTTCTTTTTACACCCTCTTGTTACTTTGACACCCCCTAGGCCCATTTGATTTATTTTTATGATTTTTTGACTTTTCTTTTTTCATTCTGACTTATTTATTTTTCCTCATGATATTAAAAATATAGAAATAATTTTTTACACCATTTTTGAATTTATAGGCATTTATTTGTTTAGATTAGTTATTTGTACATAAATAAATATATAAACTTACTTTTATTTAAAAATACCAAAAATAATGTAAACACCATTTTATTTTCATTTTTGTTTTATTTTATCTTCTGAAAATATTTTTATTAAAATATACCTTTTTTAATAAATATTAAATATTATTATTCTTGTATATATAATATATTTAGTAAATAATAAAGATATTCATATATATATATATATTAATATATTTAGGACAAAAATACAAAAATACATACATTTTTTTTTATTATTAATATTTGACCTCAAAAAATACTTTTTATAAATATACTTTATTTTTATTTTATTTTGTATATAATAAATAAATATGGTACTCATTAAATAAATAATACCTTTTATTTAAGAAATTAGGGTTTTACCCTAAACATAAAAAACTCCAAAAAATAATACTTTTTATTTTTATCTTATTTGACATGTAAAAATACTTTTTTCATATACATAAAAATATTTTTTGGCATCTTGCATATTTATCTTATTTCTATTTAATTTGTGCAATTGATTACCTTGTAAATAAATTCCAAATTGATGTAATAGCTAGGTTTAAATTCCTTGTCAAAACCCCCATTTGAACATTTGTACCCCCCTTCCCATATTGTGTTGTAATAGTATAGGAACTTTACTTTTCGCACTTTAACGCTTTCTAAATATACCATGCTAGAATTAGGGTTTGTATGCAAATAAAACGAACAAAAATAGTTTGACCTAATTTCAAGATAAGCAAGCATGAATATGGACAACACATATCACACTTGCACCCCTAGGGTATTCCACTTGTTGCCTTCAATAAATGGGCCATATTGCATGCTAGGTCTCTTTGGGCAAAACAAACACAATTCAAATGATCATAGTCCCTCGATGACGCTTTCGAAAGTTGCCTAATAAATAATCAAGTCCCTTAAAGGAAAATTGCCCAAAGATACTTGGCACTATTGCAATTATGGTCTAAACGATGACCCGCGCCCGTCCCTTTCACATCCTAATACAAGATTGTCCATCAAATACAATGGTGGAACAAAATTGTTAAAAGGGTTAAAACATAGCATAAATCTTTGAGAACTTTAGGGTAGATAGCTCTTAAGTACTTGTCAACTTGCAAAAGAAACCACTTGCCTATTTTCAAACCACACTTCACAAACACTTTCAAAACAAACTTTCAAAAAACCTTGAAACATCTTTTCAAAAAGACAAACACCTTTTGTAAAACATTCGAGTAAAGAATTGTTACAAGGGTAGCCTAGACAAGGCATCTTTTTCAAAACATTTTCAAAACCACGCACAAAGCACCATTTCAAACAATTGAAAACCAAGGCAAGTTGATCTAAGCAAGTACCTAAGAGACCATGGATAACCATGGATAGAAAGGGTGCTAATACCTTCCCTTTCTATAATCTACTCCCCGAACCCAAGAAAAATCTCAAAGGTTTTTGATGTGCTTTTTAAACCTTTCCTTAGGATAAAATAAAAAGTCGGTGGCGACTCTTGCTCAACCGAAACATTTGCGAAAACAAACGCAAAACCACAGTCAGTTCTCCCACCGTATCACAGATGCCAATTGAAATTCTGGCAACAGATACTCAATGTCACAGTGAATGTTATGACACCGTATCTGACTTTCTATAAGATAGTAAATAAAAACAGTAAAGAACACAGTCAATTGTTTACCCAGTTCAGTGTGAAACAACACCTACTCTGGGGGCTACCAAGCCAGGGAGGAAATCCACTATAAGAGATATTAATTCAGGAATAAACCAACCAGTTTATCTCCTTCACTTAAGACCTACCCAATGCAACTTCAATCTAAGTTCAACTTAAACCTGAGTTCCTACTCACACCCCTCAATCACAGCAATGATACTTAAAACAATTGACTAATGAAATAATGAAGACACTCTTCAGAACATACACTTGATTATGCTTCATAGCTTTTTAATCAAGTAACACAAACACTCGTGCTTCACAGCTTTGAGTGATACATAAACCTAACTTGACTTTGCTTCAAAGCTTTAGTCAAGAGACACAAAACACTCTTGCTTCAAAGCTTTGAGTGATACAAAAACCCTTACAATCAAAACCTATTCCAAGTCACTTATCACAATGATACTTGCTTGGATTACAGTAGTTAAAACTATACAGCTCCTAATTGATCTTCAGTCAAAGGAGTTACTTTGCAACCAGCATTCCTGTTGAATATATATGCAGCTGTTTCTTCAGTTAGGGTTTCCACAAAAAGCTAGGGTTAATTAGGTTTAACCTTAAGACTTGGTCACAAGACTTTATCAACCAGATTAGGGTTGAGCTAGGTTAACCCAAAGTCCACGTGAGATTCTGTTCTGGAAGGAATGAGCCACCTTCCTGAAAAATCTCAGAATTAACCAAACTGCATATTTGTTAGATCAGTACATGATGTCTTAACATTTGTTATGACATCAGAATTCCTGTTTACTGATTTTGGTAGAAGGCAATAAATGTGATCATTTCAAAATGCTCAGATACACGGTCATAAACAGTAGCTACTGTATGTCATACTTTTTCTGCATAAAGTACCTAATAATCCAGAATGTTATGACATCAGTCATGACATTTACACACCTGGTTTTACCAAAAATACATGCCAATAACTAAACACTTACAGAAAAAGTTTCATGTTTTGACATATCTTGATGAATTATGACCCTTGGCACTTGATTTTGACCAAAAAGTCAAAGTTTGACTTTTCAGTGTACAGTTGACTTTTGATCAGTTGACTGCAAAATTCATCTGTCAATCCTATGAACTTGAGATCTTTTGAACCATGTAATTAGGTCAAGATGATTCCATTGAACTCTTGAAATCATGTTTGAAACCAATTGGTCATTGGCTAGGTTGAAAATAAAAAATGGCTCTTTCTCAGTCAAAACCCTAATTTTGACCATTTTGCCCTTTTGATGATTTGATCAAATTTATTCAGGAATTGTGATCCAATCTTGATCAAATGGTACATAGGAGTCTATAATGTTGTTGTGGATCAAAAATTATGAAGTTTGACTGTAAATTGGCCATGGTTGACTTTTTCCCCAATACAGTTGATTTTTAGGTCAACTGTCCAATTGATTGAGCAAAAATGTGATCCAAGGCTTGAAACTTAACATGAGAAATCTTAGGGGTCCAAGATGGTGTATGAAAGTCACATGAAGCATTTATGGTCCAAAAATCCTTGTGCAAACTCAAACCCTAATTTTGGATGATTAGTGCAAGATGAGATGTCTTGAGCAGACCAAACCCTAATCTTATCTCGAGTCCAAGAAGTCTTGTGAGAAAAATATTGATAAATGAGAGGGAAAATTTTGGGGTACAACACCCTCCAATATAACTCGACTCCTGCAACCGTAAGCATGAAAGATAACCTTCTGTTGAGGGCATTAATGTTGGAAGATGTCGATCAAAAGATGTGAGATTAGGATGATAAGGATATGAAGGTTAAGCTTTGGAAATATGTAGATGGTTATAATGATATCCATAGGTTGTTGAAGGACTTATAGAAAGATGAGGAGACCTAGAAGGAGAAACTAGCATATGTGAAGGCCAGGGATGCAGAGATCACCGCCAAGGAGAAGTCCTTGTAGGAGTCTCTAAATGCCACTTTTTTTTCTTTCAAAAAGTAGTTTGAGGGGGATGTGCATGAGCTCACTGATGCGTTGGTGTCAACATCTAACATCTACTTTGAGAAGTAAAATGAGCAAGTTTCCTTCTTGTATCCTAAGCTCGATAGGAGAAAATTGGACTTCCTTAATGTTGTCTCTGATGGCCATCTAGTGGATAAAGAGACGGTGGCCCCTTCAGAGCCTAAAGGTTTTGCCCTCGCCAAGGACACCCAAGATGATGGCGGGATGGTGGAAAGAGGTGAATCTGGAACCCCCAACCGGAGGATTCCATCAAGAATAAGGCAATTCAGGAGGAGATTTAATGGCTCGCGTTTCCTTGTGATGTTTTTTGGCCCGTAGTGGACTTTTGTTTTATTTTTTCCAATTTGGGGCCTTTTTGTAATCATTAAGACAACAACACTCTTTGGGCATCTTATATGTTAGGCGCCTTTAATGTTATTTGTCTATAGCCCTTTCTATATGATTGTTTTATGACCTTAATTTGGAGTATTTATTAACATCATTCTCTCCTGAGGAAGAGCATATACCTATCACTTCCCTTGCAAGGATATCTTGGGGGAGTTCAGTGATTTGATTGCTTCTAAGGGCTGCAGAGGTTCCTCTTGGGGGTCTAGAAATTTGATCGCTTCTTAGGGAGACAATGATCCTACTTAAGGATCCAACATTTTGATTGTCTCTTGGGGAGGAAAGGATCCCACGTAGGAATCCATCATTTTAATCGCCTCTTATGGCGGTAAGGATCCCACCTAGAGACCCATCATTTTGATCGCCTCTTAGGACGGAAAGGATCCCACATAGGGAGCTTACATTTTGGCCGCCTCTGAGGGCGGCTAAGATCTTACATAGGGACCCAACATTTTGATCGCCTCTTAGGGAGGCAAGGATCCCACTTAAGGACCCAACATTTTGGTCGCCGCTTTAGGCGACAAAGATCTCATTTAGGGACCCGACATTTTAACCGACTCTTAGGGAATCAAGGATCTCACTTAGGAATCTAACATTTTGATCGCCTCTTAGGGCCGCAAGGATCCCACTTAGCGATCCAGCCTTTTGATATTCTCTTAGGGAATAAAGGATCCCTCTTAGGAACCTATCATTTTGATCGCCTCTTATGGAAGTTAGGATCCTACTTAGGGATCCAGTATTTTGCTTGCCTCTTAGGGTGAAAAGGGTCCCTCTTAGAGATCAACCATTTTGGTCGCCTCTTATGGCGACATTTTAGGTTTCTTGTAAAAAGGGAATAGCCAGCAAACACAAATTCTCTAAAATAATAAAATGAGGGACCTCATTAAAAACCCTTTCCATATTAAATTCAGAGAGGGAAAAGATTGTACCTCATAAAATAACATGTCCTTATAAATGGCAGAGATGTAACACTCGTATATAAAAATTAACAACAAAATTACTAATTTGTGGTAAAGAAAACAAACAAGTGATAGTAGGAAATGTGGTTCTAGAGGGAAATCCTTCTGGACTTTTAATATTCGGCCTCCTCACTGGTTGGAGGGGGAGCCTTCTTGCTTTTGAAATCTTTTATCAACGAATTTATTCTTGTGTCAATTTTGCTACCTTTTACGCCAAGAGTGTGAACCCTTTTCAACTTGAGGCTCTATACATAATATTTTATGACGATCTCCTGGTCTCCTTGGATACCCATACTCCCCCATCAGATAGTGGGTATTTAAAGAATAAATACAAATTGGACAAGATAGCGCCCAACTAATTTAAAGTTGGCTACCATATAATCATATTGTAAGATGAGGGGGCATCAACAATCAAATACCATACCTTAATTGTTTTGGATTGATCATGTTCTCCAAAGGTGGTCTTTAGATTCATTTATCCTTTCACTTGCACATGCTCTCAAGAGAATTCCACTAGCGAGCCCTTAAATGGTTTTATGTCCTCTAGGTCAAGGTGGAGTCTTTCAAACATCTCCCAATATAGAATGTATGCAGAACTTCCTTGGTCTACAAGGACTCTTTTGATCTCTCATTAATCAATCTAAGAGTAATGACCATGGGGTCATCATTGCGAGGGTGGATGCCAGTTGCGTTCTTTTCTGAGAAGGAGATAGTGGTTTCTAGAATATTCAGCTCGCCTTTGTCTTTAGCATTGAAGAGGTCTTCTATATTTAGAATTTAGAGAGCGTACCTTCTAAGGGCAGAGCTAGTATCCTCGCCTCCAGCAAATCCTCCTACAATAGTATTGAGGCATATGGATGTTATGCATGTGAAAAACCTCGCGCCAAATATATTTACAACGAGTGTTCAGAGGCATCAAGCTCTCAGCCATCTTGCCTTCTCTTTTAAATACAATATTTTCTTTAATGAGAAAGGTATAATTACTCTTCCTCTAGTGGTGTGAGCCTTCGGTATTGGAAACACGCTTCTTGATGTCTTGCGCCATCTTCTCAGTGTTGCTCTCATTGCCTTTAATGTAACATTTTGCCTTAGTGACCACTTTCTCTAACAAAAGTGATAGCTTCTAGGCGAGAGATTCGTTGAAGTGCCCTGCCTTAAGTCCATTTTAGAATGCCCTCAAAAACATTTATTGGTTTGGGGGAACGACCGTGATTGTGGCTTTATTGAACTGGGTGAGATAGTCCTTCAACGACTCTAAAGGGCTTTGTCGTATATCGAACATTATGGTGGTGTATATATTCATATGACGGCTAGCGGCAAACTAGTGTACAAGCTTCTTCACCAATTCTAAATAACTAGCGAGAAGACTCGGGATGGACCCAAATACCATCGTAAGGTTGTACCCTTGAAGGTGCGAGACAATAATTTTCACTTTAGGGAGCCAGGTCTTTTAATGATGGTCATTTGTGTGTTGATGGAGGTGACACGTTCACCAGGATCATTACGCCCATCAAACTTAGCCAAAGAGGGACGTTTAAATCCTTTAGTGACAAGCAATTCCCGTGTCTCGTCAGAGAGTGGATGGTGATCCAAACCTTCCATCTTTTTTTTGGGACTAGACTCTTGTTGGCATTGTCTGATATTGTTGACATTATCCTTGGGCGTTTGATTCTAACAGCGTAGTTCGTCCATCGTAGCATGCATCTTTGCCAAGGCACTGGCATCACCGCTACCACTGGTATTTTATGGAGTATGGGATGACGATCTTCTATTAACCATGGCTAAGGATGGTTAGGTATAGAAGTGAAGGGTAAAAATCAGGATGGTGATTGTATTGAAGAAGGTGTGATCTAGGTTAATTTTATCGGTCATTGTGGACGCTATTGTACTGGTCAAAAAGTACAGGTGTGCATGATATCCCTACAAGAGTAGAGGTTACTCGAATGCCTTAGTAAGTTTATAATAATTTAAGGTGATTAAAGTTTGCCACTGTAGTGAGAAATCCTATATGATGATGTTACAATGGTTTTATAGGACATGCTTACGTGAGGTATGAGGCTCTGTAAATTAGCATAGTGGTTATGGTATTATATACACGTTATGATTCGTTCTCTCTCTCCTGTTAGGGGAGAGGTATTTATTAAGGCCTTTGGGCCTAAGACTTAGAAATTCGTAGGAGGTGGTAACTAATTCCCTTTAACTGAGAGAGGTTTTTTACTATCTATTATTCAAGAAGTCGTTATATGACTCAGTATGCATAACTAATGGAGGAATAACGACATTGTGCACATGTCTTATTAGGATGGAGAACTCCCTACAACACAAAGGTACTGTCCATGCGTCACTTTATGGAACAAAAACCTTTTTGTGTCGCACTTATTTGAGAATTTTCACAAATATAACACTGTAATATTTTTTATAAATTAATATAAAAATATTATATATATATATATATATATATATATATATATATATATATATATATATATATATATATATATATATATATATATATATATATATATATATATATATATATATTAGAATCAACTTATTTTTTTAACTTAGTCAAAATCATAACCTTTGAATTAAATTTAATATAGTAGTTAATATTTTGTAATTAACCTATTTATTTGTTGCACCTTGTGAAGTGTGGAACACGTGTTAACCAATCTTCGGCCACCTAATTCATTCAACCGGTACAAATTTCCACCAAAATAAGTTTAATTTGAAAAAAAAAAGTGTTGCAAGGTGTTTGAGTTTTGACTCTTCACAAGTTAGTTTTTCAAAATATTCAAATTCTATCCATTAAATGCGAGGTGTTGAACGTCTTAAATTGACTTTTATTTTTCTTAAATTGCCGTTGCAAAGTGGAAAACATCTGGCGACAGAATATTTTTTGCAAGGTACACGTATCTTTTATTGGATCATCTGTCTTTTTGATGGATTTGTATGATAACTTAAATTTATTTTGACACCAAACAAATATACTACTTAAGAGACCTATATATATATATATATATATATATATATATATATATATATATATATATATATATAAACATTTTGATAGTTTTATATATACATTTATCCATAGAGAAAGTAAGAGAGAAAAGGTGATGGGTAGTCTTTCAAGATCTCAAGTATCATTCAGAAGATCAGGTTCATCTGGACTTGTTTGGGACGATAGATTCTTATCAGGAGAATTAAACAAACTCAGTCAACAACAACAACAACACAAGAGTTGTGTTACCGACGAATATAATAATTTCAAAGAGCATCACGCTGGAACCACCACTAAGAGGAGTCGCTCCACCAGTGCTGGCCGAGGATACCGTACCCTAAAAGTATCTCCGACCATCTATCCACCGTCTCCAAAACTCTCTATGTGCGGCTTCTTTAGCCTTTTAACGAAGAAGGGTCGACGATCAAAGTCCGGAAACCGTCGATCCAGGTAGGTCTGGTAGTATGTTGACATGAAAAGAGATATTCTGAATACTTGATATCATAAGAAGGGATTTTTCTTTTTCCATATGTAATTATATTGTGGATGATATTTTTTTATTTATTATGTGGATCATATTAGTTTGATGACTTTGTGATGATTTTTGATCTTTGTACAAACTTAAGGCTTAAAGCGAATCTATATTTGTGCATACATGAACTAAAAAATCTTTTGATTTTAGATAGGCTTTGTTATTCTCAATCTTATTTTTCAAGAACAAAACCATATAGCAGTAATCTCCGTCATAAAAACTATCCTTATCATCCAAGTTACCTTATTGAAAAGATTTACAAAAATCTTTAAACATAAGCGACAACCAAGAATCAAGAATTATCCTACTATTTTTATAAATTATAATATTATATCTAGTATTATGTTTTTATTCAAATTTTAAACATGTTAATCCAAAATTGAGTTATTTAAAAAAGGAAATATTTTTCTTTTCAAGATGAAGATTTTGTTGAAGATGAATAAATGTAAATAAATTCTTTGATATCCATATCTTTTAGTTGGATGGGGATATTTTTAGTATTATATCAGTGAATTTTTTTACATCACAACCATTTATAGATATTATTTTTATAAATAAATAAAATAAAAATTAAATTTCAATAAATATTTAATGATGATGATTAATTGATAGTGTGAAGTTATTTTAAATTGTCAGTATATACCAATTAAATTCATAAAATAATATTAAAATATAATATAATATTGAATATTATTGTTTTATCGGATGAATGTGTCGATAATCAACAAAATTCAAAGATATTAGAATATTTATCATAAATCATTTTTAATTATATAATTATTTTTCTCTTTTTGTATTTATTGTATGTATAATAATGCATTAAAATTGTTTTTAATTGTATAATTATTTTCTCTTTTCCAATTGTACTTATATGGCTATACTCATTGTATGTATGAGAATGCATTAAAAAATCATTATAAACTACTAATAACATACAAAAAAAAAAATTAATACATTATTTGATATATCATAGTTTTATTTCGTAATTTTTCTTTTATAAGATCGTTATTGGAAATATAAAAATTGATAAAAATGAATAAACACCATAAAAATTCACTTCTTTCATACTCATTTTTAATTTCCAATTCTCTTTCTTATTCAAACAAGTATTATAACAATAAAAAATTATTCCCTCCGTTTTAAAATTAGTATGTTTTAAAGAAAAAAATTTATTTTAAAATGAATGTCATTCTCACTTTTCAATGTAGTAATAATTGTTATTTTTTCAATTATGTCCTTCAATTATTAGTCTGTGCACTACTTCCAACACATTAATATGACTAACTTAGTAAAAGTTCAATGTCTTATGACAACATTATTGTATTTTTTAATTCGTGTGAAAAAACCTTAAACGACACTCATTTGAAAACAGAGAGAGTAACACTTATTAGTTGTTTGAAGGGTAGAACGGGAAATAAGTAATGTCAAAGGAATGAATTCTTTTTATACGAAGACAAGAGTTTTATACGGAAGAGTGAGGAGTATCTAAAAGATTAGCACTTCAATATCCTAGTCAGTGAAGTTAGAGAGATCTAGTTTGAGAGTGAGATCATATTTAAATTGGTGTATCATTAGACATATATATGGCAACAGTTAAAACTACTTCCATCTAACCTGACGTGAGATGTGGGAAGTCGTCTGATCATATTCGACGGTGGATGATGCACTAGTAGTTGGGTTCAAATGTATAATTTTTGGTGATGTCCCATATGTTCCTTTGTCCACTGATTGGATACTACAAATTGAGTCTTCTTCGAGCTTGTGGCAAACTCAAAATAGTTGCTCCCAAGCCCTTGCTGATATTTGGTTAAACGAGGATTAACATTGTTAGGCCCCTCATTGATGTAGTTATTTTTTGTCTAGGCCGGCTTTGGTTCATGGAAGAAGAAGAGTTTTGTGATTTAGGGGCATGTTGCTCTAAGTTTAATGGGTATAAATTCATGTCTTGTAACCGCGACGTTTTGTGTTGAGAACTTGACACATGGTTCTATGTTTAATGGAAAAGGTAACCTTTTTAAGGTACTTGAATACCTAAGTACATCGATGTTTGATCAAGGTCGTTGATGGCATGGGTATGTTTCCTCATGTTCTCTAATGTTGATTGTGTGGTAGTCGGCCAAGCAATATATCAATAAGCATGACAATGAGGTGGGTTGGATACAGTTTTTACCTCCCCAAACCAAAACGTGAATCCCCAAACAATCCATGTTTCCCGCTCCAAGCCCAAACGAGAATGAAGAATTAAATCTCAAACCCGTCTCAAACGGGTTCGGGTATCCCCACCCCGCCACCTTCCATTTAGTAAAATCAATTTTTTTAATATAATTATTTATTTTTTCCAAAACCAAATTATATTATAAAAATAAAATAAAACAATCTTAAAAATTACATACATACATTTCAAATATTTTAAATAATAAATACTAATCAAATTATCAAAACATTAGCTACATATTTAATATTATAAATTATCAAAAATAAATAATAATGTACATAATGAAATAAACGCGGCGGGTTCGGGGTGGATACTAGTGTCTCCATCACCTGACTCGTCCCTATATTTTATAATTGAGAAAAACTCAAACCTAGTCAATGCGGGTTTTCTCTGTCAACTTCGGGGCGGGTTCATGTGGGAACACACAGGTACGGGTTTTGTTGCCCTGCCTAAATATATGGGGATTCTCGGGTGAACTTCCTCTTCTTTCCACTTAAACTACCTATCAATTTTTGAGGCCCTCTCATTGTTGTTTTTGTTTTTGACTTTATCTCTTGCAACAATTTCTTTCCAATTACTGTCCTGACACCTCTCGTGGCGCTCTAGTGGTCTCACCCACGTATGCATCGAGAATCACCCTTCTTTAAAGGTAAAAGACAACATTTATTTTCCTTTTGTCCTTACTTATCATTTGGAAGGGTTCTGCCAAGGTCGTTATGGAAGATTAGAAAGTTGATACTGAGAGAACATCAGTGCGATTACATAGTTGTGTTCTGTGTTGTTGAGGAGGTAGAGAGATCATTTCCTTGGTGATATAGTTGGTCTCCAAATTTGGGTTAGAAATGACTTAGGTTGTGAGTGATATGTAGTGACATTGATGATTATTGTTAGATTGAATGTAATTGGTCGATAGATTTAAGTCTTTGGAGTAGATTATATGCAGGCTTCATAAGTTCTTCCTTAGTTTTTACTTTTGTTTACATTTATTTTCTGTTGATAACATTTTCTTGACAAACCCATTTATCCCCAAACTCATTAACGAGAGATTTGTCGAATGACAATTCAATAACCAATCTCTGTGGACACGATAAATTCCCAGATAAATATTTTTGAAACTTTCGTTGCTTGCCGCTACACCACTTTCAACAATCGGCGCTGACAAACCAGTAGATTTGTGGTTCATTTCTCTTCTTCTTTGTGTATTCTTTATTTGTTGAGTTTGTATATGTATTTACTTTGAACACATGTATATTTATTGCCCAAGGTGTTCTATAAAACTTACTTTACAAATCTTTATCGATTATTGTCTTGGATTTTTGCTCTGTGCTTAGGGGTTTGGGTTGCTATAGACATATACTTTTCAGATTCTTATCTAGGATGATTGTCTAATAGCGTCTAGATTCTAGAGATATATTTAGTTCTATTATTCACTTTGGTGTCTGTTATTAATGCCTCTGTGTTGTTTGTGTCGCTTTGAGAGATCGCCGACGCGAGTAGCACAGTTGACTTTTATGTTGTCGAGGTTGGTTGAGAGATTGCTGCCGAGGCGATATAGTGGGTGTTTTGTTTGATACATGATAACATTGATGAATAACTGGTCGATAGGTTTAAGTTTTTGAGGAGTGAATATTTTGCATGCTTGATAAGTCTCTTCTAGGAAGAATGAGTTTATTTTATGTTGATAAGTTTTACCCTTTCCATACAAACAACCCATTCAAACCAAAACTCATAAACGCGAGATTGTCGAACGATAATTCAGTAGCACTAATCCATGTGGAGACGATATGAGATACCCTATAAAAAAACTTACTTTTGCTTATCGCTTTACCACTTCAGCAAAACGGCATCGTTGTCAAGGGATTGGTGTTTTTATTGGATCGCATTGCGATAGTTTCTTTGTATTGGAGCGCATTAAGATTTTGATAAGTAAAAATTATAGTTATTTTTGTATATACTTTTTGTTGAACTTATCGACTCTTTGTTGTTAATATCACTTGAATAATCCTAACTTTGTAAATGTGTATACTTTGTGTATAATTGTATTTTCGATTCATTTGTGTATCATTTGATAGTTTTAATATCTTTTTGTAGGTATTGTTGTATGTTTGGAGCATTTAAGAATAAAATTCCAAATGGAAGCTCCAAATATGCAAGATTGATTGAATAAGGCAAAGAAAGAAAGTCAAAAAAAGAAATAAAGAAGTGTTGTCTATCATGCCTCATTGCGCGGAGCCTGGGCGAGGAGCATGCACTTCTGCTTCGTCGAGCGAGCATGGAGTGAGAGGTTTTGATCAAATTCCAATAGGTTTTATCTTGTCCCCGTAACGTGGTCACCAGGAGACTTTTGGTTGAGTCGCTGGGCAAAGCTTCCCTTCCTTGGCCGAAAGAATATATTTCTCTCGTGTTACTTACGTGGTGTAGTCTGGGCCAAGTGAATAAGAGTCGTCATCGGGCGACATGTTTGGATCGTCCAGCAAGCGTTGCGGGACAGAGTTTTGTATTTATTTCTATTTCTATTTCATTTGTTAGGGTTGTATGTTTGGGAATAGTTTTAGCTCCCAAATATGGATAGAAACGGGTCAGTTCGGGTGTCGGTTTCACACTACCCAAACTCGCACCCGAAATCACCACCCGAACCCAAACTCAAAGGCTATTCAGGTGGAAAAATAACATTCATGCCCACACCCGTTGGGTTCGGGTTTTTCCA